CTCGCGCCCGGTTCCTCGTGTCGGGAGGAACGTTTTTGCTCTGCCGAAAACCGGGAAGTAAAGGGGCTGTGCGGCACGGCATCGCAGCACGGCTGACAGGGAAGGGCTCCCAGCTCGGGGCTGGCGCGAGCTCAGGACTCAGCCAGCACACGCGCTGGGCACGTGACGTCTGAACTGGGAGAAACGTTCACCTCTGCGAGCTGCTGCGTCGTTCCTCGTGTCGGGAGGAACGTTTTTGCTCTGCCGAAAACCGGGAAGTAAAGGGGCTGTGCGGCACGGCATCGCAGCACGGCTGACAGGGAAGGGCTCCCAGCTCGGGGCTGGCGCGAGCTCAGGACTCAGCCAGCACACGCGCTGGGCACGTGACGTCTGAACTGGGAGAAACGTTCACCTCTGCGAGCTGCTGCGTCTGGAGGGGGCTGACGGCGAACGGCTCCTCCGTAGCCTGGTTGACTTTAATTCCTTGGAGAGGAGTTTCAAAGGGAGTGAGGCCTCAAACCTAGCCGGAGCCCAGGGGCATTTTCAAAATCAGTTTTGAAACAAAAAACGGCGCTGGGAGTCGCAGAATCGTGCGGAAGCCGGGCCAGGAGGGACCTGCAGAGACCATCCAGTCCGACCCGCTGCCAGAGGCAGGATCAGCCCTATCCAAACCCTCCCATCCAAATTCATTATCCAATGTCTTAGTAAAACTACACGATGCAACACAAGACCTCACACCCAACCCCGCCCCGGGTAAGGCAGGGGGACTGTGGCAGCCAATGTCTTGCTGTGGACGTTGTAAAAATACGCTTGAGAGGTCCCAGGAAGAGGGCTGTGCCCCCGCTCGGAGGAAGACAAACCTCCCCAATCTCCCAGCCGATGGGCCTTGGGCTTTGAAATCGTGTCTGCGCTTCTGAAAACATCGCCCGTGGTTTTGGGGGATCCTTTGGAAATCCCCACGGGGTCTTCTGCTGCGGAGCTGGCTGGAAGGCCGAGCTCTCTGGAGGAGGACGCTAGTGCGTCATCGTAGCAGCTGCTTCTTGCTCTTCTGTCGACAGCGAGGATCCAGGGTGAACCTGCGGCGGCGGTGTACGGGTGGGTGG